ATAAAGCTGGAGTAGCCATACTTATATCAGACAAACTAGATTTTAAACCAATGTCTGTAACAAGAGATGAAGAAGGACACTTCATAATAAAGGGGTCTATCCAACAAGAAGATCTAACAATTGTAAATATTTTTGCCCCCAACTTGGGAGCAGCCAATTCTATAAATCAGTTAATAACAAACTTAAACTCATTGATAATACAATAATAATAGGGGATTATTTTTGTTAAAGATTTTATTTATTTAAAAGAGAGAGCACACAAGCAAGGGGAACAGCAGAGAGAGAGGGAGAAGCAGACTCCCCACTGAGCAGGGAATCCAACCAACGTGGGGCTCGATCTCAGTCCGGAGATTGTGACCTGAGCTGAAGGCAGCCACTTAACCAACTGAGCCATCCAGGTGCCCCATTAATAATGGACTTTAACACCCCACTCACAACAACAGACAGATCATCTAAGCAGAAGATCAACAAGTAAACAAGGGCTTTGAATGACACACTGGACCAGATGGACTTAACAAACATATTCGGAGCATTTCATCCTAAAGCAGCAGAATACACATTGTTTTTGAGTGCACATGGATCATTCTCCAGAATAGATTACATGCTGGGTCACAACTCAGGCCTTAATGGGTACAAAAAAACTGAGATCATACCATGCATATATTAGACCACAATACTATGAAGCTTACAACAAGTAAAAATTTGGAAAGACCACAAATACATGGAGGTTAAAGAACATCCTACTAAAGAATGAATGAGTTAACCAGGAAATTAAAGAAGAAATTAAAAAATACATGGAAGCAAATTAAAATGAAAACACAACAGTCCAAAACCTTTGGGATATAGCAAAGGCAGTCCTAAGAGGGAAGGTCTTCCTCAAGAAGCAAGAAAAGCCTCAAATACAAAACCTAACCTTACACCTAAAGGAGATGGAAAAAGACCAGCAAATAATACCTAAAACCAACAAAAGAAGGGAAGTAATTAAGATTAGAACATAAATAAATGATATAGAAATTAAAAAAAACAAACAAACAGTAGAACAGATCGATGAAACTAGAAGCTGGTTCTTTGAAAGAATTAATAAAATTGAGAAACACCTACCTAGATTTATCCAAAAAGAAAAGAGGAAGGACCCAAATAAATAAAAACATGAATGAAAGAGGAGAGATCACAACCACACTGCAGAAATACAATTGTAAGAGAATAGTATGAGCAATTATATGCCAAAAAATTGAGCAATCTGCAAGAAATGGACACATTCCATTATGTTTCTAAACATATAAACTACCAAAACTGAAACAGGAAGAAATAGAAAATTTGAATAGACCCATAACCAGGAAAGAAATTGAATCAGTAATCAAAAATCTCCCAACAAACAAGAGTCCAAAGTTGAATGGCTTCCCTGAGGAATTCTACCAAACATTTAAAGAATTAATTCCTATTCTTCTGAAGCTGTTCCAAAAATAGAAATGGAGGGAAAACTTCCAAACTCATTAAATGAGGCCAGCATCACCTTGATTTCAAAATAAGACAAAGACCCCACTAAAAAGGAGAATCACAGACCAGTATCCTTGATGAGCATGGATGCAAAAATTCTCAACAGGAGACTAGCTAATTGAATCCAACAGTACATTAAAAGGATTATTCATCATAATCAAGTATGATTTATTTCTAGGCTACAGGGATAGTTCAATATCCACAAATTAATCAACATGATTATATTAATGAAGAGTAAGACAATATGTCTTCTCAAGAGATGCAGAGAAAGCATTTGACAAAACATAGCATCCTTTCTTTTTTTTTTTTTTTTAAGATTTT